TAAATTTGAAAAGTGTCTCGCAAAGTATTGCTCAAAAGAAAAACAAAGTGAAAGTTTAGCTTGGTGCAGGGAACTGTGTAAACATATTCAAATCAGAGCTGTCTTATAATTCCAGTTCAGTATCCGCCAGCCACTCTGTGTTATGGGGCAGCCTCTTAAGTCCTGGTTTCTTCATCTTGTTGCTTTTACTGTTCCCTATCTCGCATTGAAAGAATTAGGTGGAAGTTGGCACAGAGTGGTGTTTAGTAAGCATCACTATCTATGTCAGCGTGTTCTCAGAAGCTGGAGGGGCCATTGTAAGTGGAAAGAGATCAGAGGAAGGTGAGAACCAATACCCGGGAAATGAACAACACAGTTGAGAAGAGAATGATTTATACAGAGTCTAATGGAGTCTTAAATTGATGGTTGTGGCCTAAAGCAGTTAAGGAAGGCTTTGGAGTTGTGTGGCATTACTCAGGGTCTAATTTGGTTAGGGGATTAAGAAGATAAGGGTGCTTTATAGGGGAGTTGCTTAAGCAAAGGTAACGCGGTTAGGTACCTCTCATCATTTATAGAAGACAGAAAAGGTATTGGAATGGAATACCTTTTAACAGTCTTATTTCTCTAACCTTTGATTCCATCCACCCGCCCCCATGTTTTCTGATGTGGTGAATATTCCTGCAGTAGCCTCCGTGTTTGGCCATCTTTTGGCAACTTCCATTCTTTTAAGGCAGAGGTGAGCAAGTCTCTTTTTAAAAAAATCTGGGTAGTTAATATTTGAGGGTGTGCAGACACGTATCGGTGCTGCTCAGATTCTTCTCTTTGTAATCCTTTAAAAAAAAAAATCTAAAATCGGCTGGGGATTCAGCTCAGCGGTTTGGTGGCCTGCCTCGCAAGCGCAAGGACCCGAGTTTGATCCCCGGTACCAAAAAAAAAAAAAAAAAAATTCTAAAATCCATTCTTTGTTCTGGGCTACACAAAGTCATGCTGAAGACCAAGGGTGGACCCCCGGTATAAGTGGGTGCTTTTTTCCAGGCCCCCTAAGGTGTGTGACGAGAATGTGGCTCCTGATGGAGCTCTTTTAGCTCCCCATTTTGACACAGTGTCAGGGTGGTCCATATTCAATGTTTCCTTGGCCAATCTTCTGCAAAGCTTCTGTTTGTTTTTTGTTTGTTTGTTTGTTTGTTTTTGGTCCGGGGATTGAACTGGGGACCTTGCACTTTGGAGGCAGGCGGTGGATTCACTGAGCTAAATCTCCAGCCCAATGATCTCTTTCATGTCTTATCTAAGAATTTCTGACAGATCATTAGATGGGAAAGGGTGAAGTTGGGTTGCTGGGAGCTATCAGCTTATGAGTGCTTCTCAGCCTAGGGTGATTTTTGTCCCCTAGTGACATGCTTAGTTCTCGTGACTGGGGACAACCCAATGCTGAAAATCTGAACAGTGCACAGGAAACCTTCCCTTCCACCAAAGAATTGTCCGGCCTACATGCAGAGTAAGTGCTGAGGCTGAGAAACACACCTTGTGTGACAGGTTTGGTCTCTTATTTCGTGGGTAGTTTTATTCCCCTGTGGACCTGTGCAAGGCTGAAAATGTTACTAGAATTGCAGGGTTCTGACAACTGCATAGTTGTGACATGTCTGTTAAACAGTTTTGTGAGAATTCCCTACTTCCTTATCTCCCAGAAAAATTTAGGGCCATTGTCTCCCCCAGGACATGTTCATTCCTTTGGCTTTTCTATGTTGTTGTCACACTCTTTGAAAATGGCACCGGGGGCTTGGAGATTTAGCTCGGTGACTCTGCTGCCTGCCTCGTAAGTACAAGGTCCTGAGTTCGATCCCTGATACCATTAAAAAAAAAAAAAAAAGGCACTGGATTAATAAATACTTCAAATAGTATCTCCTTCTGCAGATCATCAGTGACCCCAGTTAGTAGAAATTGGTCTGTTGCTAAAACATCTATGTGATTAATTTTTCTCAGTAGCAGCACCTTATCTCATCACTAGGTGATGTCAGGAGAGGGTGGAGGATGCAGACACCATCTACTGTGTGAGCTTGGTGATTAGATTATGTGGTATTCGAAAGGGCAGATGGTGAGTTCAGATTTTTCAGTTGTAGATGTGGCCCTCAAAAGGTCTGGTCGAGCCAGGCATGGTGGCACAGGCCCAGCCATTTGGGAAGGCTGAAAATTCAAGTTCACCCTAGGCAATTTAACAAGAACCTATCTCAAAAAATAAAAAGAGCTGGGGGTGTAGGTCAGAGGTAGCCACCCGTGTTCAATCCCCGGTGCTATGTTTAAAAAAACACGTCTCAGTTATCCTGGGTTATGAGAGCAGCCACAGGGCTCTGGGAAGGGGCAGGGCATCTCTTATTTAAATGGCTGCTTTGTGCACTGGGCTTACTTTATCTCATTTAATCAGCACAAAAAGCCCAGGGAGGTAAAGATTATCACAGCTGTGCGTTTTGCAGATAAGCCAAAGTGTGGGGGGGGTTAAGTAATTGGCCAGGAACATATGGCTACTTTTCTTCATGTAGCATATTTAACAGCAAAGAGATAGAGCCAGTCGAGGGACAACACAAAAATGAGTTTGCCTCCCCACTGTTAGGTAGCAGCGTCTCTTTAATGAGAGAGGGAGGAGAAAGCTCAGGTGGAAAGTGGAAAGTGATCTTAAATTTCAAATGGAGAAAGATATTACTCAATGGATAAACCTTCAGTCAATTGGGGTACTTGGCAGGGGAAATTCTTTGTATGGGTGTGTGACAGAATGGAACCCAGGACCTTGGCACGTGCTAGGCTAGAGCTGCGCTGCTACACACTCAGCAGCACCTTAGGCGGCATTCTGGGTGCCTGCTCTGTGATTTGTTTTAACATTGCTCCCTCTTAGATTGCACTGAATCGTACATTAGGACCTTTCCTTCATATCTGTCTTCCTTTTTAAAATGTATTATGAAATACTAAGCTAAGTGTAAAATGAGGCAAGCGCCCCAGTAACTGTCACATGGATGTCCCTTGCATCTATGTACTAGGGATTGAACCCAGGCCCTTTGCACTGAGTTACATCCCCAGACATTTCATTATGTTTTTGAGACAGGGTCCTACTAAGTTCCTTAGGTTGGACATGAACTTATAATCTTCCTGCTTTACTCTCTCAGCTCAAATATCTGTTTTTTGTTGTTGTTTATTTGTTTTTAATTGCTTGTTTTGGCTTTTTGAAACCGGATCTCTTGTGTAGCTCAGACTGACCTTAAACTCGCAGCAATCTTCCTGCCTCAGCCTTCCAAGTGTTAGGATCGTCGGTGTGCACTCCCATGCCTGGGCTGGTCTTTGTTTTTTGGGTACCGGGGATCGAACTAAGGTCCTTGCACTTGTGAGGCAGGTGGTGGAACCACTGAGCCAGATCCCTGGCCCTTGGTTTTTGTTTTCGTCTTTGCAGTATTGGCAGTAGAACTCCAGGGCCTGATGCATGCTAGGCAGGTACTCTACCTTTGAACCACACCCCAGCCCTGGCTAGGGTTTTAAACTCTATAGAAAAGATGCAGTTCTATAATATAATTGATGTGCATTGTACTACATTACAAAATTTATTCACATTAATACATAATACAAAATACTACTATAGTATTGAAATCTGAATAAGTTACATATTCCAGTGACTTTTTTTTTTTCCCCCAAAGACTGTTAGCCTTTGTAAGTAACTATTTTGGTGGTAATACAAAATACTACTATAGTATTGAAATCTGAATAAGTTACATATTCCAGTGACTTTTTTTTTCCCCCAAAGACTGTTAGCCTTTGTAAGTAACTATTTTGGTGATGATATATACTTATTTTAGTGAAATTCTAAATCATAAAATGTAGTGGAAATGTGTTCCGCTTTCCCCCTCAAGCTGAGTTTGAGCCAAGACTGAAGAGTGAGTCATTTTCGCTGGCTTTACCCACACATTGTACTGACAAGGCGAAGGACGGCGTTGAAACCAGGCATGGTGGCATGTGCCCATGTTTCAGCTCTTAGGAGGCTGAGACAGAAGGATCACTTGAGTTCAGAGACCTAGACCAGCCTGGCAACATAGTGAGACCCCCTTGTCTGCCCATTAGATTGCACTGTTTAAAAAAAAAAAAAATGTCATTGTGGTGGTACGTGCCTGTAATCAGCACTGTGGCTCAGGTACGATCATTTTGAAGCCATCCTGAGCAATTTAGCAAGACCCAGTCTCAAAACAAAATATAAAAAACAAAAAACTGGGGGTGTAGCTCAGCCTGAAGCCCTCTGCGTTCAGTTCCCAGTACCACAGCGCCTCCTCCCACCCACCCCACCCCAACCAAATGTGAAAAATACCCATTGGCCTTTGTTGGCTTTGAGTGCTTCAATTATTTCTAAATCTTTTTATCACAGAACTAGCATTTGCTACCATAAAAAGTGGGATATGGGGGAGAGGATTTAGCTCAGCGGTGCTGCTGCCTGCCTCACAAACACAAGGTCCGGAGTTCGATCCCCGGTACCAAAAAACAAAACAAAACGGGATATCCAAAGGTGTTCTAAAAGTAATGTAAAGGAGAAGTTCTGAGTATAAGAAGTGTCACAGAAACAGTGTCAGCAAGTCCATCTATCTCACGTGAGGCCAGAGTAGGTCTTGTAATACTTGTGGTCTCTTTAAATTCCTGGTCGGTGCATGTGTAAAGTCAGGTAAAATGAAGACAGAATGAAGGATTTGCATTAGTACTCTAACAGAGATTCTAGCCCTGGATTCTGATTAACCTTGTGGACTCTATATTTGAAATGAAAACCCCTGCACTGAGCATCTGCACATTTGCTGTTACCTGAACAAACAACTTTTATTACTGGCAACACCCAAGACGTGGACGTCTGACCCGAGGGAGCACAGGGAACTTGAGGGAGTGTGTGCACCCTAACCCTAAGCAACCACACTGAAGTTTTGAAAGAGTTTTACCTGGGGTTTCACTTGGGGTTACAGTAACTTCTTTTTACCTCTGCAGCACGTTTCCTTCACTGAATCGCACAGGTTTAAACTTTGAGAAGAGTGGTTCAGACTCTCGATATGGAGCCTCCCAAGTTGAGGAGATGGGGAATATAATTTTAGCGATGATATCGGAGCCTTACAGTAAGTCACTGCCATCATCAGTCATAGAAGAGGATCTCACGACCCGCCCTTGACCCGTGCTTTTGAATTTGTTCCCACAACCTTGCATGTCTCATAGCTGAAGTGCTGACTTGTGTTCTCTCGTGTTTAGATCACAGGTTTTCAGACCCAGAGAGGGTAAACTACAAGTTTGAAAGTGGCACTTGGTAAGTAGTTGAATACTATCCACTTGAGTTTTAAAAAATTTTTATTATTGTTTAGAAACTTAACCTTTTGACTATCCCTTCGTGGTAGACCATTTATTAAAGTAAGCGTGGGACTAGGGATGTAGCTCCGTGGCCCTTCACTTGCCTTACAAGTACAGTGTCCTAAGTTCAATCCCCAGTACCAGGGAAAAGAAAAATGAAACACAAAACAAAACATAACGTAAGCTTGGATATTGGGACCAAAATTTAATGAAATGCGGTATTGGCATCTTCAGTCATCCACATTAAGTGGGACATCTTAATGTTGTATGTGTGATTCTTCATTTATTCCTTTAAAATTTAACCATCCGCCCACTTGGAAAAACTCCAAAGGAAAAAAATGAGAGTTCACAATTTTTTACTGAGATCAAGTGTGTTTATCAGCTTTTACCTGAAGGCAAAGGAGACGGCTAGGAAGAACTAGGAAGCTGTGCTGTGTCCATCTGTGAGCACGGGTGCGCCTGGGGAGGTGTGTGTATCACTGCAGTGACCTGCGTGAGCCTGACGTGGGTAGAAGCTTCTGATGGCTTTGCCCATGGAGAGGCTTCGAAGCCTGTGTAGCTGTAAAGAAGGTGACTCACTAGGAAAATGTTCTAGGATCGCTGAAAATACAAACCTCAGAAGGACAGATGGCAAAAGATGTCAGAATGTATAATAGGTGATTTCCAAATGTCCTGTGGAGGTGTCGGCACTCCCTAGTGTTAACGTGAACACCCCGGGGTGACTCCAGTTTTGCAGGGAAAATGTTTTCATGGCAGAGATCTGACCGCATGCACACGCTCCTAATGTGGGTTAATTTCCAGCTCTGTTCTGTAAATTTTGTTGCAAGTTGGATTTAAACACCCACTTGTTACTGCCTAGATCTGCAAATTAATTTAAATCTGTCCTTGGTTCTAGCAAGTTTCAGGCCACGAGGGGACTGGGAGAAGCTTGCGTCTTGCGAGTTGGCCCTGGGGACCTTTGAGTTCCTGGCAGGCGAGTGGCTCCTCGGCTCACAGACGTGCTGGAGGAGCTGGTGGTCTTTGTAGAGTGAACAGACTCAGAGCTGACAGCTCCTGAGGAAAATGAGGCCGTAGGGCGAGTCTGTCTAAACTGCAAATAAATGAGACCTCACGGGTCACCAGGCGCATTGCCTGGCAAGGGCTCCTGGATGTCACACAGCAAGCATTAACTTTGCAAACTGAAGTTTTGCTTTGTCTGCAGCAGCAAGATGGAACTTATCGATGATAACACAGTGGTGAGGGCGCGGGGTTTGCCGTGGCAGTCTTCGGACCAGGACGTTGCGAGATTCTTCAAAGGACTCAATATTGCCAAGTTGGTTTCCTTTCACCTCTGCTTTACTTAACCATCCCAAAGGGTCGCCGGGCTTCCTATCATCACCCTTTCCTCCTCACAATTACTTTCTACCTGCCATGCCTCTCATTCTTTTCAAAGGGGTGGCGCAGCACTTTGTCTGAATGCTCAGGGTCGGAGGAATGGAGAGGCTCTGGTGAGGTTTGTGAGTGAGGAGCACAGGGACCTGGCCCTGCAGAGGCACAAACATCACATGGGCACCCGGTACATTGAGGTATGATTCTCCTGGGACTCTGCCCCTGCGTGAGCGTGAACGTGGAGTGAGGGCTCGGAATTTGGCTGTTTGAACTTCTCTTTGTGTTCGTAGGTTTATAAAGCCACTGGTGAAGATTTTCTCAAAATTGCTGGTGGTAAGTGCCTTTTATATAATGTCTTTAGTTAATAAAAGAAAGCATTGAACCTATGTATTAAGAGTAGATCTGGGGCTGGGTGTGGTGGTGCATGCCTGTAATCCCAGCACTCGGGAGGCTGAGGCAGGAGGATCGCTGTGAGTTCGAGACCAGCCTGGGCTACATAGTGAGTTCCAGGTCAGTCTCAACTACATAATGAGACCCTGTCTCAAAAAACAAAAACAAATACAAAAACAAAAAGGAGTTGATGAAGGCCGGGGATTTGGGTCAGTGACACTGTGCCTGCCTCGCAAGTTTAAGGCCCTGCTTCGATCTCTGGTACAAAAAAAAAGATTAGATAATAGGGTTTTTTGGTTTTGGTTTTGGTTTTGGTTTTAGTTTTTGGTTATTTGAGACAGGGTCTCACTATGTAGTTGAAACTGACCTGAAACTCACTATTTTTTAGCCCAGGCTGGTCTCAACTCATAGCAATCCTCCTGCCTCAGTCTCCCTAGTGCTGGGATCACAGGGGTGCGCCACTACACCTGGCTGATAATAGGGGTATGATGGGCCTGGTAGTTCAGGAGTAGAGCCTTAGTTCAGCCCTTGGTTTTGTTTTCACCACACACACACACACATCATGAATGATTTTTATTTCCCAATCAAAAATATATAAGAACTCTTTTTTTTTGGTACTGGGAATCAAACTCAGGCAGGTGGCAGAACCACTCGCTAAGTTCCCGGCCCAAGAACTCTTTTTGTTTCTTTTAATAGAAAAAAAAAAAAAACTTTGAATAGTATTAGTGAGCTTAAGGTACTGTTACACTGAATGCCAGGCTTGGTGGCACACACCTGTAATCCCAGCACTGTGGAGGCTGAGGCAGGAGGATGAGTGGGAGTTCAGGCCAGCCTGGTCTACACAGTGAGTTTAAGGCCAGGATCCTGTCTCAAAAAAAAAAAAGTACTACTACACTCCCCGAGGCTTGACCCAACCTATTAAATAGCCATAAAAATGCCATAAAAAACGTACAAAGGTGTTGACCTGAAATAAATCTTTTTCCCTTTAACGTATGGGTGTTGGACATTGGGTCTCAGAAATGAGAAAAGTAACTTAAGACATTCCAGAATTGTAGAAAATATCCATTTAAAAAAAGTACAAGGATGAATGATAATAAAAATCACATATAAAGGAAAAGGGTAGTTTTTGTTTTTTTGTTTTGTTTTTGAGACAGGGTCTTGATATGTTGGTATTGAACTCATTATGTAGCCCGGGCTTGTCTTGAACTCTTGGCAATCTTCCTGCCTCAGCCTTCCGAGTGCTGGGATTACAGGTCTGTACCACCACACCCAGCAGGAAGGGGTAATTTTGGAAAGAAATGAGTCTAAAACCTTTTCAAACAGCCACACTGTAATACCTGAGACTGTTGAATATTTGTTTCTAGTTTTTCTCTAAATTACATCATCAGTGTCAAGAAGCGTATTAGTTTTATCTAATTCTCAAATTGTAACTTTTTTTAAGGCGTAGCTTTAAACCTGTAAATAACATATATAAAAAAATAGTATTTTGTGTAATTTTTTGTCAACTACACATATATCTACTTTTTTTTTTTTTTTTTTTTTTTTTTTTTTTTTGGTACCCGGGATCGAACTTGGGTCCTTGCTCTTGTGAAGCAGGCACCAGAACTACTGAGCTAAATCCCTGGCCATATACACTTACTTTTTAAATGTGTATGTTCTGTTCAGGTTGTATAATTTGTTTGTTTGTTTATTTTTAGACATTGTCTGTGTAGTTCAGGCTGCTCTTGAGTGCACTATGTAGCCCAGGATGGCCTTGAATGTTCGGTTTTCTTACAACTTCCTTTCTTTGATATTTTATAAACATTTTGCAATGTTACTCATTTTCCTCAAACGTTAATTCTACTTAGTGTATGTGCCATAAAGTTTTTAAACATCCTTATTCTACATCTAGAGCTTATTTCTAGCATTCACTTTAAGTATGTTGCAGTAAATATTTTTGCATTTCTGTGCTATTCACTAGGCTAAAATCTAAAAATAGTATAGCAGAACCTAAGAATTATGGACCCCGTTTTAAGAAAATATTGACACCTCGTACTAAGTTCCATTGGGCAACTTTGACTTAAATGCAGAACATTTGTTTTATATAGAGATAAATTTGTATTCTTGCATAATATAGCACTGGTGACTTTTTTGCAATGAGAAACAGGGTAACATCCTGTTAAAGCACAACTCACTAGTGTATTCCTATTTTGGCACTATTTCTTTAGAAATGGCCTAAGCCTTCAAAATTTAGGGCTTTAATAAGATTACCAAGGGTGGGGGATTTAGCTCGGTGGTGCAGCACCCAACTTGCAAGCACAAGGTCTTTAGTTCGATCCCAGTATCAAAATAATAATAATAATAATGATAAGAAGAAGAAGAAGAAGAAGAAGATGATCACCAAAATTCCAAAGCAGTGTTTGATTGGCTGGGGGTAAAATACATCTGGAGTTACATATTCTTACCCTGAATGCTAGGGTCCCATGGTGGCTGAATTGTAAATTGGGAATGGCAAAGTTAACTAATATTCTCACTGTTGCCTGGGATTTCATTGCATGTGAATAGTGTGATGAGAATTTCCTATTGAGTCAGGTGTGGTGGCACATGCCTGTAATCCCAGCATTCCAGGAGGCTGAGGCAGGAGGATTGCCTTGAGTTTGAGGCCAGGCTAGGCTGCATAGTGAGTTCAAGGCCAGCCTGAACTACAAAGCACAATCCTCTCTCAAAAACACAAAAAAAATAAAAAAAAATTTTTCCTTTAATTAATTAATTAATTAATTAATTTACTTATTTATTTATTTATTGTTTTTTTGAGACAGGGTCTCACTATGTAGTTGCGACTGACCTGGAACTCACTATGCAGCCCAGGCTGGTCTTGAACTCACAGCGATCCTCCTGCCTCAGCCTCCCGAGTGCTGGGATTACCGGCATGCGCCACCACGCCCAGCAAAAATTTCTATTAAGGAAAGTGTTCTACTGTATGAGTTTGATGGACATGCACTTAAATATTCATTATGTGGCATGTGGTACAGAATGCTTTAGTTTGGAGCTGGACAAGATGGTAGACACCTGTAATCCCAGCCCTCGGGAGGCTGAGGCAAGATGATTGCTGTGAGTTCGAGGTCAGTCTCAGCTACACAGTGAGCTCACGGATAACCTGAACTACAGAGCAAGACCCTGTCTCAAAAAAAACTCAGAATACCTAGAATGCCTTCGTTTGGGCAGAATGTTGATACACTGGAGCGGTATGCCAACTATATTCGTTACACTGTTTTTCTCAGTTGTGTTTGAAACTTTTTTTGTGGTACTAGAAGCCTTGGGCTTCACATGTGCTAGGCAAGTGCTCTATCACTGAGCTACATCCCAGCGCTTTGAATCTCTCTGAGTTGCCCAACTGAGCTGAAACTTGGGGTCTTCCAGCCTCACCCTCCCAAGTAGCTTGGATCGCAGGCGTGTGCCCCAGTGGCTGGTTTTGTAACTTTCTCCATAAAAAGCAATTAGGTAAATTATAAACCCATAGTGCTTTATCAGCATTAACCAACTTAATTCTCATAATTTTTAAAAATTGTGGATAATAAATTTTATTTTATCCCATTCCCCTCCCTAAGTCTCTGCCCATAATTCTGTGTTGTTTTTTTGTTGTTGCTGTTGTTTTGTTTTTGATTCTTTGAGATGCAGTCTTTCTGTAGTTTAGGCTGGCTTTAAACTCACTATGTAGCAGAAGCTGACCTCGAACTCATTTCAATCCTCCTGCCTCAGCTTCCTGAGTGCTGGGATTACACACGTGCACCACCAAGCCGTCTCAATGGTCAATGTTTTATGAAGCAGGCAGTTTTACAGATGTTGGAATTAAGGCACAAGAGGTTAAGCTTGCTAAGTTTCCCTAGTAAATTGTCTGGCTCCAGGGCCTGTGCTTGTTGTTGCTCTGGTTGCAGTTCTGGGAGTCAGATGGTGGACCCTGTGTGTGGTCCGCAGGCGCTGCCACAGAGTTAACACCTTCAACGCCCATGATGCCTGAGGCGGTTGCCCCCCAGGAGAAGAGCCAGCTGGTCTGTGATTTAATGATCGGACCAGCTTTCTACAAACATGGCTGTTTTATGGAAAGGCTGGCCGGAACGGCTTCAAATTTAAGAGAAGCCAATGTTTTTATCCCCAGGGTGTCATCAGTATGAATTCAGTAGGAAGGTGGGTCAAGATATTGAAGACATTACCAGGAGTTTACGGAATTCAAAGCCGTTGTCTCCCCGTTTCTCCCAGGTACCTCCAATGAAGTAGCCCAGTTTCTGTCCAAGGAGAATCAGGTCATTGTGCGCATGCGCGGGCTTCCTTTCACGGCCACAGCTGAAGAAGTGGTGGCCTTCTTTGGACAGCACTGCCCCATCACTGGGGGGAAGGAAGGCATCTTGTTCGTCACCTACCCGGATGGCAGGCCGACGGGAGACGCGTTTGTCCTCTTCGCTTGTGAGGAATATGCACAGAACGCCCTGAGGAAGCACAAAGACTTGTTGGGTAAAAGGTACATCGAACTCTTCAGGAGCACCGCCGCTGAAGTTCAGCAGGTTGGTTTGATTCTTCCTCTTTTTTGCTTTTGTTTTTTGAGGCAAGGTCTGGCTAGGTAGTTAAGGCTGCCCTCGAGCTCACTGTGTAGCCCAGCCTGGCTTGAACTCGTGGCAGTCTTCCTGCCTCAGCCTCCCAAGGGCTGGATTACAGGTGTACCCCACCACACGCGGCAAACAGGTCGTTTCTAACACTATGTTCGGACTTCTGACTTGTTTGTTTTTTAATCTTTGAAAACAACCTTACGTTATTCCTTGCGTTAAAATCTTGGAGAATACAAGAGAATATAAGTACATGAAAATAGTCTGATTCTATGACCACAGAGGAACATACTGTTTTTTTGTATTTGATTTTCTTACATTGTTTTAAAACTGTATCTTGAAAGCTTGTCCATGTTTGAAAGGTTTCATATTTAAATTAATATACCTCACTGTGGTACATATTTTATTTAGAAATTCCTCTATTCTATGTTTGGGTCAGTTTCTTATTCTACCTTTAGAATTTCCTATATAAACAGTTCTCTAAGGAGGACATGGTGGTGCAAGCCTGTAATCTCAGCACTCTTGGAGGCTGAGGCAGGAGGATTGCAGGTTCAAGCCCAGCCTTGGCAATTTAGTGATTTAGCAAGACTCTGTCTCAAAGTTAAAAATAAAGGGATGGAAATGTACATTAGTGGAAAGGGCCTAGATTCAAACCTCACTACCACACACACACACACACACACAAACACACCAAAACAAACTCCAAACATGTTTGTAAAACTTTTATCAGTTTCTGACTGATTTCTTTAGAGCTAGATCGATATATAGAGCATAAATTTCAAGATGTTTAGATTTAAAAGGCTTAAAAGATTTTAAGTTTGAAAGATTGCTTTAGCTATTTTGTTTTCAGTGTACTCAATTGGTGTCCCATAGGAGAAGAGGTTGATTTAATGACTCCTTTTTTTGTTTTGCAAGTGTTGAGGATACTTACTCTAATTATTTCTGTAAATTCACAAAATGACTTTGTGAAGTTTCTGCAGACTGCTGTATATCGTACTTTAAAATAATTGCCCAAGGCTGGGGATTTAGCTCAGTGGCACTGCTCCTGCCTTACAAGAGCAGGGTTCTGAGTTCGACCCCTGGTACCACATGCATGAATGAATGAATGAATGCCCAGAGTTCTGGGGATTTAGCTCAGTGGTGCTGTTCCCTGCCTGCCTAGCGCAAGGTCCTGAGTTCAATCCCTGGTACCAGGAAAAACAAAATTGCCCTAATTAACAGAACCTTTAGGGTTGCCACAAGGCAATTTTGGGTGTGGGTGAACTTTTTCTTCATTTCACCATCCCTACTGCTTTATTTAACAAGTGCAAAGTAGTCGTGGGCTCTATCATTGTATGAGAAAGGGAAAAACAAATTCTTTGTAAATAGAAAGAGTGAGGGAGGGGGTAAAGGGAGGGCAGGGGGTGGGGAAGAGTAGGAACTAAGATATGTCACGTAAAGGTACAAGACCTCAGCGATGAATGTAACTGTACTGTATACATAAAAAGTACCGATAAACTCAATGAGAAATTGAGTAATTGAGCAGCTTCTGTCTGGCAGGTCATACACATTGCTGGACCATTCTTTCCTGGTTTTCTAGTCTTGTTCTATGCCTGTTGTTTTAGATGCATAGCAATTGTATAACTTGGAGAAGGTTTTCTGACTCTAGCATTGCTTTAGATGTGCCATATTTGTTCTTTGATTCTGTCACTTCTTCCCCAACTACTAAATATGTTGGGAGTAAAGAAGTTGTGCACATTTTAGGGAAGGGTTCATTGATACAGCCACATTTTCAGTGTGTGAGACATTCAAGTCTGCAGTGGTCAAGGTTCCTAGAAAAGCTGGGAGTGCCACAAAGGGCGTTGGCACAGCGACCGACTTCCTAGTATTACAAATTAGTTCCCATGGTGTAAGATAAAAATGGACAAGAAATTCATGACTTAAGATTTGCCTGGAGCAATTGTTCAGGCCCATGGTCCATGCTCAGGATAGCTGAATTCCAGAATCTAAAAGATATCGAAGACCCTCTATCTTGGTACTGCCTCAGATTCCCATGGAAACTAAATTACTGTCTTTATGGTCACCAATTTTTTTTTTTTTTCAGTTTGCATTTTCCAGATGTTCTGTGTGCTTTTATGTGATGTTGTCTTTTAATATCATTCAAAATCATTATTTTTCCTGTGGTTCTTTTGCTAAGTCATTCTGTCTAATTCTTGTGTTTGGAGGTAGAGCATGAAGAGAATATTAAAGGGAATGGAAAATTCCATTGTGTTGGAAAATTAAATCTAATAAATTGCCACATATGTCCACATTTTCCAGATTTTTATAAAAGCCCACTTACTGTGCATAGTGGTGCACACCTGCAATCCCAGCACTTGGGAGGCTGAGGCAGGAGGATCATAAGTTTGAGTCCCACTTGGGCAACTCACTGAGGCTCTGTCTCAAAAATTAGGGAAGGTGGCTCAGGGGCAAAGGCCTTGGGTTCAATGGCCAATTAAAAAGAAAAAGCAGAATGTAAGGCCTTTTGTTTCAAAGGAGTAGTGCTATGTTTGCCCAGGTAAACACAGTTTTCGTAAGTACACTGTGTGGTGTGTGGCTTCTGTGTTTGGCAGAGGCAGGTATTGTGCATTTCCCAGCTGAAATGCATGAATCTCTTTCTGCATCAGTGCCTCTCAAACTTTTATATATTTAATGAATCGGCTGAAGAGCTTGTTGAAGGGCAGATTCATATTTCTGAGGTCTGGAGTACACCTGAGACTGCATTGCTTATTTTTATTTTCTTTTTTCTTTTGTCCTGGAGAGTACAGCCAGGGCCTTGCCCACACAAAGCATGCACTGTACCACTGAGCCACAGCCCAGCCCCTGGACTCTGCATTTCTGTTTTTAGTCAGGGTCTTGCTTTGTGGTTCAGGTTGGATTGCAACTCAGTGATCCTCCTGCTTCAGCCTCCCCAGCACTGAGATTATAGATGTGTACCACCCTGCCTAGCTAGATTCCACATTTCTAATGGCTCCCCAGAAATGCCAGTGTTAGTCTGCAGAAGATCAGGAATAGCAAGTTTCTAAATCACTTCTATTTTGCTTTGAGTGCAGGTGCTGAATCGGTTCTCCTCAGCCCCCCTCATTCCACTCCCAAACCCACCCATTATTCCAGTACTACCTCAGCAATTTGTCCCCCCAACAAATGTTAGAGACTGTATCCGCCTTCGAGGGCTTCCCTATGCAGCCACAATAGAAGACATCCTGGACTTCCTGGGGGAATTCTCCACGGACATCCGTACGCACGGGGTTCACATGGTACTGAATCACCAGGTAAGAGGGTAATGTATTTGCTTCCCCCCACCCCACCGGGCTCAAAAGCTCTCTTCTGAAAGAGTACACATACTCTTTAGTTTTATAGTAAGTCTTTAAGGAAGGATTTAGCTGTGAATACAAGAAGTATTTTGGGTGTAGTCCAGAAAGAATGCTGCCGTTTATCACGGTCGTTCGAATTCAGCTCTCCTCCCTTCATCACAGAAAAATCCGTCGCACCATTGGTAGTCAGGTGGGAACCGGGTAGGTGGGTGCAGCATTACCCGTGCAGCCAGTGAGCTCTGACTCTGATGCTTTGGTGTGAAAACCGTCGCGAATGAGGCACAGGCAGCTGAGCATGCCTGAGTCCCAGACAATTTTGTATCCACAGACTGTTTAGAAATGACTTATTTCATCCCCGTTAGACAGTGACGCTGTCTCTGTAGGGCGCAGAGTCGAGGAGGCTGTGTAGACGGTGCCTTGAGCACGGTGGGGATCATAGCAAGCACGTGGTTGAGATGCTGAGAGGCCTCCACTGAGATCTGTGTCCCCTCGGTGTGCCACTGTCGTTTGGCTTCTGCTTAAAAAGGACGTCACACTGGTTGCAGGACAATTTACCAATATTTTTTTGTTAAGCAAGGACAAAAGTCTGTAACCTCATAAGGCAAGTAGTTCTAATTAAAACTTTGGCATTCCGCTAAAAGTTAACTTGTATTAAGTTTTGGAAATGTTTTCTGAGCACTTTGGGTTGAATATAGGCTGATATTAGAGATAGTCATTTTTTCTCCCCCTCACAGCTAATTTCCCCCTTTTCACTTGGCGATGTGTCCTTCTCATCAGTGTAATCTTGCCCCGCTGGAAGCACGCATCCCTGGGTGCAGCAATCAGAAATTTAGTACCAGCACCCAGCACTCACTCTAACTCTTAAGTTAATATTAAGCCATACACTACCTTTTCATCTGATAACCCCCTTAGCCTGCTTGACTGGTAGGAGTTTATTTCTATTTTATTTTATTCTTGTACTGGAGACTGAATCCAACACCTTTGTACTGTGCTATATCCCAGCCAATTTTTTTTATTCTGAGACAAGCTCTCGCTAAGTCACCAAATTACACAGGCTGGACTCAAGTTTTCTGTCCTCCTGTCTCAGCCTCCTGGAGTGCTGGAATAACTGCCGGTGCCACCATGCCCGACTGCATTATGCCTTTTTGAGTCACCATATCTGGTAACCCTGGGGCCATTACTGTTTAGATACCAGCAGTAGACAGGGTTGCCTCTTGTTGAACCTGTGATTGCACTGGAGAAGAATGCTGCTTTGATGCTGGACAAGCTCTTAGCTGCCCGGAAGATGGTAGGTTTCTGTCTTGGACTGGGCTTGTTGATTTCCCTGGCCTGGTATCTCTTAGGGTAACTTGCATGGTAATCATTTGGACCAAGTATTTCCTAAGAGACTTGTAGGAAACTATAAAATAAGAAAGCAGGCCTATAAACTGGTTGTGTCTCTCTCTCCCTCATAAAATGTTCACACTAAACAAAACCAGGGTGTTGTAGGTCTCTCTGTGGAACAGAAATCTACAGCCATGACTTTAAATAAGCAATTTTAGCAATTACTAAAAGCAGAGCCTCTGAGCCTCTCTTAGAGCTAGCTGAAGGTGCAGGTGGAGGCAGGAGGTGGACAAGGCCACCCTGGCCAGTGGCGATGCAGCTCCCACCTGCCATCACTGTCCCTTGGGCCAGTGTGTCTTATCCGAGTCCCTCGGTCACATTCTGGCCAAGGCCTCAATGAGGGAGGAGGGAGGGACGTGGCAGGGCCGCAGTAGACGAGCGCTGGGAGCCACAGGAGACACTGGTTTGTTCATTTAGAAGGATCTCTAAAGCTCTAAGACTGGTTCTGTTACTAGCTTTTCTCAATCCAATGACATTTAATCGGATTTTTCAGGAGGGAAAAAAAATTTTCAGTATACAATCCCATATTTTGAAAGCAGCAGTCACAAGGAGACCCTTTCAAAACATGTTAATCTGATACTAATTTAACAAACCAGAAAGGCTCACTTGGAGGTATGAGCTCTCAAGACTGTCTCGTGAAGGTTTTGTGGCCATTCTGGTGAGGAGGCGACGTGAGTCTGGTCTCAGATTGTGCTGGCACCCAGACTTGGTGGCTCACACAACTCTGCTGCGGGTGGCCATGACCTTTTGTGTTCTGTTTATTTCCTTGTTGAGGGAGACCATCTCCTCTTGTTTTTATTCTTCCTCACACACCCAGGGCCGCCCATCAGGAGATGCCTTTATCCAGATGAAGTCTGCGGACAGGGCATTTATGGCTGCACAGAAGTGTCATAAAAAAACCATGAAGGACAGATATGTGGAAGTCTTTCAGTGTTCAGCTGAGGAGATGAACTTTGTGTTAATGGGGGGCACTTTAAATCGAAATGGCTTATCCCCACCGCCATGTAAGTTACCATGTAAGTTTTTCTTGGGTCTTGGCGCTATTCTATGCTGTACGCTGGTAGGTGCTTAAGCTGCTTTTGTAACTTTCTGTGCCCCTGGTTCTTTCGGCGGCAGCAAGGTGGTTACATAAGGCTTTCCCATCTGAAATCAGTAGTATCTGGTAATCATTTAAGACCTTGGTTGTGGACACCCATAATTAGAGACACTGCACATAACCTCCTTTTAAATTATCTTCTTGCTTTTCCAGTGGTAAGCAGTTGATTTCTGGAGCTTATTGTGCCCTCAGTAAGCACTGACTCTGAGAGGCAACCTGGCTATGTACATATTTCAGTACGCATTTAAGTATGGCTGGATCCCTTTTCCTTCTTTGTTTCTTTCTTT